GGGGGGGGTCAAGATTTACGACAGTTTATGGCGTGGGGTACTTTTCCCACCGCTTATTTTGCTAGCAACTAGGCAGAATCAATTATCCCCAGTGAACCTTTTCCCCCCGATTTGAAACTTTATCATGGCGATGGCGATAAAAGAGCCTCCATGATCAGCGCAAACTTAATTTTCAGGGGCGTGAAAAGAAAGTACCCCAACCCATTCATTTTTTATTTTTTTTAAAAGAACTCCATTTATGTACGGTCCCAAACAGGGCACGAGGCCGCACGGTGGCCTAACCGTCGGGGGAGTGGAGACCGCGGGCATGCTAACGACTACCGAATTAATTGGGCCTCTTTCATGAACACTGATGTGATTGGGCATTCAGCCGTGACCTCTAGCTCGTCAAAGGCGATTATCTAAAGGTTATTGAAATACATTGGCGACTAAGTCATTTTGCATATTTTGTTTTATTTCATTTTATTTCACAACCAAATAGTAAGGGCTGAACAGATTTCTGATGTTTAAATCAGCCCCACACGCCACATTTTTTGACAACTTGGGAAAACATTGGCACAGCCGAAATACAACCACTACTCATTTCTTTCTACACTAAATAAATCTAATTGAGCACTGCCAAAACTATGGACTAAAAAAGTTTTTTAAAAAATGAAAAGAATTTGAAGACAGTACAGAGAAAGACTCCTAACCAGTGAAATACAGTGAAGGCACTAAACACTCTCCCAAACGGAATAAGACTCAATCCTCAATGAGGTCTCATATATAAATGCACTCCTTCCCCGAGGGAATGTATTTGGCACCTTTCCTCCAGAAATGAATATGTGGACTCGTAATAATGATAACATTGTGAAACAATAGATACAAATGAACAATGAAATAAGAATGAACTCAGTCTGATTAAAATTGATGATAAGAATGCAAAGAAGAAGTTAAACAGTTTTCTAATACATTTCTATATTACTAGGTTTGAGAATAAATACACAAGAGATTTTCTTCTCCCATATTCAAACCAAGAAGGCAGAAATCTCTTTCTTTGCATCAGTGGTTCATAATTATGCCCATTTTATCATTGATAAAATTGTATAAACTGTTCCTTAAAAGAGACAAAAAAACCAAAAAAACAACTATACAAATGTAACGAGGTATAATAAATTTATGGCTACAATATTTGTAAGCTTAATAGCCTACAAAACAAAACCTTAATTTAATTTGATCACATATTTGACACCTGATACTAGTATTGTCACTTGTACTATGTCAAATCTAAACCGATGGCGCTATCAGGATGAATTCAGTCTTCAGAACTATTCATATGCTATACAAAATGTGAGACAATCAGGCAAGCAAAACGATTGATGTGAAAGGCACTCATCTAAGCGTAACCAGAAAAATTGTAGTGACTCTTTTAAAAGTCTACTGTGTCCCCTAGGTGCAGGTAGTATAATAGATTATATAGTCACTGATTTAAGAATTATACTAATAATATGAACGCGACATGTATGAGAATGACTTGTTTAGTAATCATCAAGGATAAGAAAATGCATCACAATACAAAGAAGCTGGAAGTGGCATCACAAAGGTCTGCTTCCTTCTTCTTTTCAGCAGGCTTGTGCTTTAGCTTTCAAGGAGGCTTGATCAACAGCAGTCATTGCAGCATGGTCCAAATCCTTAGCTTGGATGATGGGCAGTCCAGAGTCTTGAAGAATTTTTTTGGCAGCATCAACATTAGTACCTAAAAATAAATTAACAATGATATTAAAATTACAACTCATGATCAAGAATAGGTTTATCAAAATGGCTTGAATAACCAAATAAGAGAAAAAGCACTCAGGAATAAACTTAATTCAGTACTTGAACACTATCAAATAGCCAAGCAGTCAGAATTCAAAAATTAAAATAAATAAAAAATTAAAATAAATAAATAATGACATCTAAATACCTTCCAAGCGGACAACCAGAGGTAACTTTAGACCAGAGGCACGAGTAGCATTAACTACTCCAGTAGCAATAGTTGCACAGTTCACAATACCACCAAATACATTAACAAGGATAGCTTTCACATTAGGATCTGTAATATAGATCATTAAAAATATGTCATTCCACGTACAAATAAATGTAACACAAAAAAAAAATTAAAATTAAACTTTACTATGGCATACCTGAGGAAATAATGTCAAAGGCCTGTTTCACTTGTGTTTCATTGACGCTGCCTCCAACATCAAGGAAATTGGCAGGTTGTCCCCCATGCAGATGGATAAGATCCATTGTTGCCATGGCTAAACCTGCCCCATTTACTGTAAAATTCAGATAGAGCAAATAAGATTATACTGGTAAGTTAAATCGTTCAATGGGTTAGCCCACATATTACATTTTCTCAATGCTTAATTTGACATACCCAAGCAACCAATGTCTCCAGACATGCCAATGTAATTTAAGTTGTACTTGGCAGCCTCCACCTCCCTAGGATCAGACTCAGTGGTATCATCCATGGCAAAGACATCTTTCTGTCTAAATTGAGCGTTGTCATCGAACTGTATCTTGGCGTCTACAGACACCACATCGCCTGTGTCTGTTTCAGCCAGCGGGTTGATCTCTAACTGCACAGCATCAACCCCGGTAAAGAGGCTCCACAAAGCCTTAACCTGCTCTGCACACTATAAATAAATTTTTATAAGAAGAAGCAAAATTAGTAGAAACATGATTAAAATATGGATTTAAAATTTTTGGAATCTGAACCTGAGGAAATGGAGATTAAATATTTTACCTTCTGACGTGAGGTTCCATGAAACTCCAGAAATTCAGCAACAGTCAATGCCATGTCATCAGTCACTCCTTCAATAATATCAATAGGAATAGTCTTCACAAGATGTGGGCTGGAAACTGCAACCTCCTCAATGTCCATGCCTCCAGCTGGGGATGCTATTAGCACTGGTCCATTATGTGCCCTACAAAGCAAATGTTAAGACATAAGAACCAGGAAAATATTGAGAAAAGAAGTACTACACTCATCAAATAGGAATACCTGTCCATTAAAATGCAAAAATAAGTTTCTCGCTTGATAACAATGGATTCGGCCACCATAACAGAGTTCACCATGATTCCACTAGGAGGCGTTTGCTTGGTAATTAGCTTGTGACCAACCATTTTTTCAGCCAGAGGCCAGATTTGATTTGCACTGTAAACAGAGGCAGACAAACATAAGGATGATAGCAATAGGTCTTTCCAGGTGACAGTACAGAGATAGGAAACTCACTCTTTAGTAATGTGGACACCTCCCTTAAACCCATTGCTGAAGTGACCTTTACCTCGACCGCCGGCAAGAATCTGTGCCTTCACTACATATTCATCAACCGCTAAGAAAATAAAAAGACACAGAAAGTTAAATAAAATTGAGCAAATAGGGTTGGAAATTATGTCACAAACTGTTCTGTTTTACTCACCCAAGTCTTTAGATAGAGTTTTGGCGTCATCTGCATTTCTAACCATCTTAAATTTCTGAATATTGACTCCATGGTTTTCCATCAACACTTTGCTCTGGTACTCCAATAAGTTTAAGAACCGAACCTGCATAGCATTCACCTACAACAAAAGTTTACACATCAGAGCAATTTGCGTTAAAGACAAGCATGGCAATAAACAAACCAGCAATTTATATACACACCTTTTTCAGCCCAGACAGACACTGAGCTGTGTGTGACAGATGGAAAGCTGATTTCAGAAGTCCTGCCATGATGGCTTGCTGTAAAACAGAAACAAGCAAATCTGGTTAAGATAATCTAAAATGAATAAAAATTTAATGATTATCAGGAAATGTTTATAAAATATGACGGGGAACTGGTGTACAGCGTGGACAAGTAGTTGAATGGTAGAACAATTTGGTAACTATCCTAAACATACCACAGCAAATTGCTGAATAAAAGTATCAGGAAAAGAATTAGTCAAAAACCGGTAATTTGGCCGGATGCGTAGAAATTCGATAAAGGCAAAAACTTAAATATGAACAGAGTAATAGAGTAAAAACTCCTACAGACTGATTAAGACCACAACGCTGATTGAGCAACCACACGCCTTTGTAGGCTTTGCCGGACGAAAAGTCGGGAGTCAAAGGTTACAAGACCCTGTCCCCTTCGTCCGCACATATGATCACAATCGAGTCAAATAACAGCGGATACGGACAGCTCAAGACAGCCGCACCGAGTACCATGGCATAAGAGTTTTCAGACAACAATTTGACCGATTTTTTTTCACGCTTCACCGTCAATAATGACCAGAATTTTGAGAAACTCACGAATTTGAGAGCTAATCCAGAGCGAGAGCGGCTGCTGCCTGTCCGGACCGTGTTGTGGTTGGTGCGAATACGCGCGTTATGCGCACGCCAGCGATCTTCTTTTATCTCCCGGATGAAGTGAAGTTTGTTGTTGTTTGTGGCGTCTGCTAGCAGACGACATGCCTTGATGGGGTAAACGGGTTGAGGGCAGTTGAGCGCACTGCTCCCGCCGCGCGCCCAGCCTCTTACGTAAGTCATCGAAGGACACGCCACCGTTTGCCTGTTTGTTTTCACACCGGGCGGCTGGATTTACCAAGATAAAAATCATCGGATGTAAGTCTTTTACTCGCCAGTGCCATTTAATATTTCCCAAGGGCGCCCGGAGCGTGTGGATTTTGTCGTATTCCAATCCGAATCCGGCTTGTCCCGCCGTGGACCAAACTCCAACCCACCGGCTAACCTGATTACCAAGAACTCCCAGGACACAGGTTGAAATCTGTTGACGTGGGTCATTCCCCTCTTTCACGCGCGGCTCGTCATTCAAGTTTTCTCGTCTCCGTCTCTTGATTTCGTCAGAGCCTCGCCCCCCTTTCGATCGGACACGATCGCCTAGTAGTGCCCCCCGCCACCGCGCAGGACTCGCCTGCAGCCTGCGGAGGTAGGCAACCCATCCGGCTCCGCGGCGCTCGATTGCCTACCCGGCGCCCCGCGGGCCCCTCCCAAGCCGTCGTGGTCACGCGCTGCGCAAGCCCAGTAAACCCTGGCCAACATGTCCCGGCGACAGGACGCGACAACAACCACTCAACTCTTATCTCTCTCGCGCGGATTTATTGTGTCACTCAAGGCAAAGCGCGTCATTATGTGTGATTTTTTGTGGCAGGGCGCCGCAGCAGCAGCAGGAGGTGGAGGTGGTGGTGCAGCAGCAGCAGCAACAGCAGCAGGGGGAGCGCGGGGCGGCGGCGGTGAGCCTGCGGGTGCTGCTGTTCGCGGGGGCCCGCGAGCTGGCGGGCACGGCCGAGGGGGTGCTAACGGGCGTGCCCGCGCGCACGGACGTCGACCACCTGCTGCGCCGCGTCACCGAGGCCTTCTCGCTGGGCGCCATGTCCGGCGCCTTTATCCTCGCCCTCAACCACGACTACGTCATGCCGGGCGACCAGGTGCGGGTTCGTGACGGCGATGAGCTGGCCGTCATCCCCCCTCTGAGCGGCGGCTAGGCGCGAGGCGGACCGCCGCGGCGTGGTCGTGCGCGCTCGCGGTGAACGTTAGCGCAACGTCCAATTATTTGGCAGCTACTTCCCTTTCCTTTCAAAAATACCAGTTATTGTTGTAATTTTTAGGAGAGTCGATTTCGATGTAAGAGTGTGAGGAGATAGTCGTTAAGTTATCATGTTATACTTATATATATGTATTGTGCGATACTGGATCTGTTTTATAAG